CGCGCTCGCGCCGGGAGCTGCTGCAGTTCGCGGTGGGCTGCGAGGCGCAGGCGCCGCGCGCGCCGCCCACCCCCGGCCAGCTGACGGAGAAGCTGCTGCCCCGGAGGATCCGCGAGGCCATGGCCGCCCGCAGCGTCACCCTGTACTGGGTGGACACCACCGAGCCGGCCCAGGTAGGGAGACGGATCGGGACCTCGGGTCCCACTTGAACTTGGCAGCAGCACCTGCGGGTCCCCGCCACGGAATTGTCCTATCTGCCTTCCACCCCCCCTCGCTTTGAGCGGTCCCCCCTCCCCAGAATTCATCGTGGGAGGGAAGCCCAGCCCGGCTCCCCGCTGGTCTTGACCCAGCTTGCTTCGTCCCATTAAGTCACGTCCCACTTTTCAGGTTTGGGCAGAGTGAATTTCGTTCATTCAGGCCATCAGCCTTTGAATTGTGCCTCCCTCTCTTCCCCTCTGCCCTCTGTCATGTCACCTTCTCAGAGACAGCCACCAGCCTCACATAGTGATCAGGATGCTCCACGTGTGTGGGACATGGTGGGCGACCTGTAAATGCTTGTTTATTGACTCAGTAAACTGTTACAGATGCCAAGTCTAAAACTAGTTTGGGCTCCTGTGGACGCAGAGAGCCCCTCACTCCTGTGGTGCCTTCTCCCCTTTTCCTCCAGCTTGTCAAGTACTTCACCAAGATGCTATGATGAGGTGCACTGAGACCTGGGGGTTGTTACCTTCCACTACAGAGAGCAACCGATGAAGGAATAAATGAGCATTAACAGATAACAGCTTCTGGAGGAAACTGAGGATTTCAATTCAGGCTCAGAAGAAAAGAAAGCTGGGTGCTGGGATGGGGCAGGCAGCTGGGGGAAGCAGAGGAAAGACTATTCCAGGATAGGGAAGACTAGGTGTTAGGATGTGAGCTAGAAATAATGAGCTTAGTTTGTGTTTACAAACCAGGCCAGGAGTGCCAAGCCCTAGTAAACAATGGAGAAGATAGTAGAAGTCAGAAGAGACTGGATCCTTGGACCAAGGTGTAGACTGAGTTCTGATCCATGAGAAGGCTTTGGAAGGGGCTGGGACCAGATGAGAGGTATGATTCTACTTAATAGAAACACACGTCACAAAACTAGAAGTAAATTTAATAGCAAGATTAGACATATTTGTAAAAATGAATAATGTGTTTTAAGTGTGTTAAGATCACCAATGTACTTTCATCTAAGAACCCATCGAAAGACTTGGCAAATGCAAAAATCAGGCAGTTGTGGTTTGGAAAAAATAAAAAAGGAAAGGGCAAAAATGTTTAGGGAGAAAATGTAATTCTAGAAAAAATTTGTTAGGGCAGCAAAAGTGCTTGGTCTTAGCCCAGAGAGATGCCAGCTACTAGAGAAGAAAATACTTAAAAGTCTTTTGTAGACAGAATAGGTTTTATAACTAATTGAAATCCTATTAAACCATTGTTTTGTTGTTTTTAAGTTTTATTTATTTGTTACTGAGGAATTGAGCCCAGAACCTCATGTATACAAGGCAAGCATTCCAGCACTAAGCCACATTCTCAGCCCCTCAATTTTCATTTGTCTTTTTTGTCAGTCATGGAGCTTGAACTTGAGGCCTGGGTGCTGTCTCTGAATTCTTTTGCTCAAGGCTAGCACTCTTACCACTTTGAGCCACAGTGCCACTTCTGGCTTTCTGGTGGTTAACTGCTTTGAACTGTGATCCTCAGATCTCAGCCTCTTGAGTAACTAGGATTACAGGCATGAGCCACCAGCACTCGGCTACCATTGTTATTTTGTGTGTGTTGTGTGTGCGTGCACGCACGCACATCTTGGTCTTAGAGCTTGAACTCAGAGCCTAGGCGCTGTCTCTGAGCTTTTCCACTCAAGGCTAGGGCTCTACCGTAGAGCTAAAGCTCTATTTCCAGCATTTTGGCAGAGGTAAGAGTCTCATGGATTATCCACTTTGGACCTCAGTCTTCATATCTCAGTTTCCTTGGTAGCCTGGAGCCAAGCTCAAGGAATACATTCTTGAAGACATCTTACGTTCTGGGGCTGTATAATAATGGTGCTGGCTGTTATTTGGGTCTGGTGCATGTTGATCCTATAACTTAATCCTTTACTACCAACTTTCTCCTCCTCTTCAGCTTTATTCACAAGTGCTTAATGGATACTGACCTGAGCTTCTTGGTCGCTTTTCTTTTAGTTGTGGGACTCCCCAGACCACGATGGGTACTGGACAGTGTGTGAGCTGCTCCACCACGGAGGCGGTGCTGTTTTGCCATCTGAAATTTTCAGCCAGGGTTTTGGTAGACCTGGGGAAGCCAACCTGGAGCATGAAGGAAAGCTGTCCGGCACACCTCACCTTTCTCCGTGGATTTTAGCTTTGCCAGCTGATGCCACTTTAAACAGCTTGCTCTATAACTCTCCTGAGTACAAAGCCTCATTTCCACGGATTGAAGGCACATTATTTCTCCCAGTTAAAGGTAAGCAAAAAATACTTTGGATAGTTTTTCTTCAGTCTTAGGTACATTTATTTCTTCAAGGTGGACCCATGCTTTTGAGTTCTTTTTTATAACCTAAACATTTAATGCTTGTAATGGAATGAAGTAAAATCAGAGATAGCACAGGGAAGGATTGTATATTAGTCCAACCCAACTGCTAGCTCATGAATCTAAACAAAAGAGCCAGGCGCCAGTGGCTCTTGCTTATAATCCCAACTACTCAGGAAGCTGAGATCTGAGGATCGTGGTTCAAAGCCTGGCTGGCCCAGGAAACTCCATGAAGCTCTTATCTCCAAAAAACTACTCTAGAAAGCCAGAAGCAAGTGGTAGAGTCCTTGCCTTGAGCAAAAGCTCAGAGACAATGCCCAGGTCCAGACTTCAAGCCCCAGGACTAGCAAAAAAAAAAAAAAAATCTCATGGACCTTCCTGCCCAGGCTGGCTTTGAACTGCAGTCCTCAGCTTTCTGAGTAGCTGGATCACAGGTGTGAGCCACCAGCGCCCAGCTGCGACAGTAGCTCTTGCCCTTGTAGGTTCATTTGTACTCACATAGAGCTGAATGAAGTTGGCAGAATAGCTGTCAACAATATCATAACTGAAATGGGAATTAAGTTCCAATACTAAGGTCTCAACTGGAAAGTTGGGTTTTCCGACTTACTATGAAATCTCTTTTTAGTTTCTGTCTGGTTTCTGTTGTTTTTTTTTGGGGGGGTAGTCGGTCATGGGGCTTGAACTCTGGGCCTGGGTGCTGTCCCTCAACTCTTCAGCTCAAGGCAAGTACTATACCACTTGAGCCACAGAACCACTTCTGGTTTTCTGGTAGTTAATTGGAGATAAGTGTCACGGACTTTCCTGACTGGGTTGGCTTTAAACCGTAATCCTCAGATCTCAACCTTCTGTGTAGCTAGGATTACAGGCGTGAGCCACCAGCACCCAGCTGGTTGCTTTTTTTTTTTTTTTTAATTGTGATTCTGTTGCTTCTTGAGACAGTGTCTTCCTCTATAGTCCAAACTAGCCTCAAACTCTTTTTGTTGTTGTTGGTCATGGGGCTTGAACTCTGGGCCTGGACACTGTCCCTGAGCTCTTCAGCTCAAGGCAAGCGCTGTACCACTTGAGCCACATCTCCACTTCCAGTTTTCTGGTGGTTTATTGGAGATAAGAGTCTCATGGACTTTCCTGCATGGCTGGCTTTGAACCAAGATCTTCAGATCTCAGTCTCCTGAGTAGCTAGGATTACAGATGTGAGTCACCAGTGCCCAGCTAGCCTCAAACTCTTGATCTTCCTACCTCAGCCTCCCAAGTGAGCAGGTGAGTGTTAGGTATTTGAATGTGAGGCTCACAGAGGGAAGTAGATGTAGAGTCCTGTGCACTATGCCCGGCCTGATGGCCACCTCTCAAGGTAGAATTTTAACGTTCTTTGTTGTTTTCTCCCAGGCAGAGAGACGGAAGAGGCGTTGGAAGTTATCCTGGAGCCCTTGGCAATGCATCAAAGACATTTTCAAAAACCAGTCAGCATTTTCCTAAAAGACTCGGTGGTCCAGTGGTCTCTCCCTGTGGGCGGCTCACTGGGCACAGATTGCTGGATGCTGCAATGTCCAGAGGAGGGCAGATCGGCCCAGAGACTGGTACTCCAGCAGCTGGCTGACACGCTGATGGCCCAAGGCTTACATCTGGTAGGTGCCCTTCATGCCTGCAATCGTTCTCACTAGCGGCACGCTCTTCATGGCATCATCTTGAGGCGCTGTGGTCCACACAGGTTCAGGACAGTACCCATTACTGTAGACGCCATTTGAGCAATGAATTAAATACCTTAAATTCTCATAGGAAAATAGAGCAGTATTTGAATGGGAAATGAGCGGTGGTTTCTTGTTATTTTCTAAGTGTTCTGTCTGTATTCCTTTACTGTGAGCATTTAGGAAAAAGCTGCTACACCATAAAAATGGAAATAGTATCACAAGCTGTATGCTGGTGGCTCACACCTGTCATCCTAGCTACTCAGTAGGCTGAGATCTGAGGATCAGGTTCAGAGCCAGCCCAGGTGGGAAAGTCCATGAGCCTTACCTCCAATTAACCACCAGGAAACTGGAAGTGGTGCTGTGATTCAAAGTGTTAGAGCACTAGCCTTGAGCCAAATTGCTCAGGGACAGCACCCAGGGTCCTAAGTTCAAGCCCGACAACTGACCAAAAAAAAAAAAAGACATAACAGTTATTCAAACTTTGGAATGTCTTCGGAAAAGGAATATAAATACACAGGATTTAACTTTAAGGTGATGCCTACTTTTAAAATACCAACAATTTCCTTATCTTATTTAGTTTTTTGCCTTCATAATCTCAGGAAGCATCTAGATAGACTGCATCCTAAGGTGAAAGGCTAAAAGTTGGATGTGGTGGTACACACCTACATGTAATCCCAGCTGCTGGGGAAGCAGAGGAAGGAGGGGGAAGGGTTGAGAGTTTAAAACCAAGCAAAGATAGTGAGACCCTATCTCAAAACCAAAATAGAGCTGGGCACCAGTGGCTCACACCTAGCTACTCTGAGGCTGAAATCTCATGGGCAGGCAGGAAAGGAAAGTCTGTGAGACTCTGATCCCCAATTACCCCCCAGAAAGTCTGCTTAGTTGGTACAGCGCTAGGCTTGAGCATAAAACTTCATGGACAGCGCTCAGGACAGGCACGAAAAAAGAAAAACTAAAACAAGACCGGGAATGTAACTCAAGTGACAGTGCTTGCCGAAGCTGTGTAACACCCTCAGCTCATCCCTAGCACTGGAAATTTGAGAGAGGAGGGTGGAGAGAAAAGGAAGGAAGGAGGAAGGGAGCAGAAGAGAGATTCTGGAGAAAAACAGGCAGTCAGCAAGTGGCGCTGCTCTGAGCCTTGTGTGCTCTGATGAGCGGTGTGTGGGGTGAGGATGGGGACGGTCTGGGTTAGGTCCTGGCCCTCCACTCACTGGAGGGTCTGATAAACCCCCTAGATGCTAATATTCTCTTATCGTCTGGAGGGTGAATTTGAAGTGAGGTGTACCTACCTTCTCCCTCTCCTGGCAGGGCGGCCTTGGCCCAGGTACTTTTCCTGGGCCTTAATCCCCGTGTAAAACAGGGATAATAATCATGTAATCCAGTGCTGCTATGAGGATGGAGGGGGTAAGTGCTAAGTACTTAGTGAGTATTCCTGGTTTATAAATGGAAATTTTGGGACTGTATGATTAATACATTCTCTTCTACCTCCAACCGGCCCACTGTTACTCTGCCTCTCACTAGCTAGGGTACATTTTTTTGTTTTTGTCAGTCATGGGGCTTGAACTCTGGGCTTAGGCGCTGTCCCTGCGCTCTTCAGCTCAAGGCAAGCTCTCTACTGCTTGAGCCACAGTGCCACTTCCACTTTTCTGGTGGTTTATTGGAGATAAGAGTTTCAGGGACTTTTCCTGCCCTTTGAACCATGATCCTCAGATCTCAGTCTCCTCAGTAGCTAGGATTAGAGGCGTGAGCAACCAGCGCCCAGCGTTAGAGTACAACATTGTTCTCAACTACCGAACCTTCCTTCCTCTCTAGGTTGTCAATGTGGACCCTGGTGAGGGTTGGCCTCCCGTCTCAGGAGTCATTTCCCCGCTGTCTGCCTGGGCTATGATTCTCACTGTGTTTCGAACCAAGGTGGCTGAGATGCCAAGACGTGGTCTGCAAACAGTTGCAGCCGAGGGCACTCAGGACACAGATACCCTTTTTTCTGATGTTGTGGATGGTGTATTGAGTCAGCTTCCTGATTCATTTGGAGATCCTGCCTCGTGTGGTACGTTTCCCAGCCAGTAGCCAGCAGCCTGTGGGGGTTTGCAGGAGGAAGCTGGGGGTTGCTGGCAGGCTGGGCTCCAGAGCGGGCGAGTCCCAAAGGTGGGATCGGGAGAGTGGGTTGAGAGGACAGAACAGCCAGGCCGGCCAGGCCTTGGAGCCACGTTGCTCCAAAAGCAGAAGAGCTAGTTGCCAGTGGTCCGTGCTTGTCATCCTGCCTACTCAGTAGACTGAGGGTTCAAAGCCAGCCAGAGCAGGGAAATCTGTGAGACTCTTATCTCCAATGAACCACCACAAAGCCGGAAATGGAGCTGCAGCTCAAGAGGTAGAGCACCAGCCTTGAGTGAAAAAGCCAAGTGAGCGCACGGGTCCTGAGTTCAAGCCTTATTAGTTTTGATGCACATGCACAAACACGCACACGAGCTTGTGGGCAAATAGACAAAACGTGGGAAGGGTGTGGTGCCCAGTTCTAGGTTCTGCCTTAGTCCTGTTAGTCTGCAGTAGTCCTCTTCTGATTCAGCAGCTCTACCTGATGGTACAGCACATTAGTGCGTGTAGAATTATCCTGTCATTAACTACAGTATCCGTCGGTGCCTGTGCTCAAGCGTGACCTCCAGCTTGTCTGAAGGTGTAAACCCGTGTGCTGACACGGTGCCATCTCCACACCTCAGTGCGGGGAGTGGGGTCCCTGTACAGCAGGGTGTACCCCAGGAGGCCTGCCTCAGCTGCCTGGGTGGTGAGCAAGCCTTCGTGTGTGCAACAACCACTTGGCACTGTGTTGGGGATAGCTGGAGACAGCACAAGCCTGTGGGCCAGGCTGGCGCAGGTGAGCGCTCTGCTCCGGCTCTGATGCCTCTCCTTTCCCGCCTCTGTCCACCATTCCTGCAGCTCCTGTTCCAGAGTGGGCCCAGCAGGAGCTCCGCCACAGCGCCCCCTGGAGTCCAGCCATGGTGGAAAAGTGGTTTCCTTTCTCTAACATCAGTGGTGCCAGTTCAGATTTGATGGAGTCATATTGGTATTTTTTCCCCCTAATTTCTCTTGAGTATTGACTACTAAAATAAAAAACTCTTTGCTAAAAATTTTTTATTAAAGAAAATTGTCACGTTAAATGAAACACTCATATAAATGGCTGTCAGAAAAAATTTAGGAGTAAGTACCAAAGAAAAGAGCAAAGTTGGTGGAAGCCAGTGGTTCACACCTGTCATCCTAACTTCAAGAGGCTGAGATCTGAGGATCACAGTTCAAAGCCAGCCCAGGCAGGAAAGTCCGTGAGACTCTGTCCAGTTAACCACCAGAAAACTAGAAGTGGCACTGTGGCTCAAGTGGTAGAGTGCTTGCATTGAGCTGAAGAGCTGAGGGACAGCGCCTAGGCCTAGAGGTTAAGCCCCACAACCAACAGCAAAAAAAATTTCTCAGGGACAGCACCCAGGCCCTGAGTTCAAGCCCCAGGATCAACACAGGGAAGAAACAAAAGCCAGTGTGGTACACAAAGGTTCCATGAAGATAACTTAGGGGGATGTTTTCTTTTCTGAGAAAATGTATTTTGAAGGTATCTTATGGAAATAACTATAGATTGGTTTTTATGAGGAGGGATGGTGGGTCTTTTTGTTTGTTTTGTGTTGTTTTAGAAATATTTTGGAAAATTGCAATCTTGGCTTTATACTAGATGTCTTGACTTTACAGGTTACTACAGGCTGCCTCCGCTGGTGCAGAAGCCTCTTCTGGAATGGAGAGTGAAGTAACACGTGACCTCTCGGAGCTCTACCACAGCAAGCTCAGCCAAGAGTCTACCCTGGTGAATCCAGAGGACAGAAGAAAGAAACGTATGCACACGGAAAGACTGCCTCTTACAAAACTTTTTTTTTTTTTTGAGACTATATATTTTATAAGATTGACATTCCCTGAAATGAGATTGAAATGCTAACCAGATAAGGAGGGGCGACAGTTCTCACCCTTTGTATTTGATATTTTATATATATGAAATGAGATGAAATGCTAACCAAATGGGGGGGGGGGTGACAGTTCTCACCCTGTGTCCAGGCTGGTCTCCAACGCAGTCCTTCCGTCCCAGCCTTACCCCCAAGGCCACGAACACCAAGATGAGTGTGTCATTCATGTGAAAATGGCTAAGCTGTCTAGTGCCTACCATTGTTGAAGGGAAGGCTCTCTCGCCTTGTTATGGGCAGCAACCTCCTGGCTGAAGTCCTGCTGAAGTACACACTTGGTTTCAATGCCCTTCCATGGCCATCTCAACTGAAGTCTTTCCTCTCTCCCCCCACAGGTGGTGTCCCCCGCACTCCGGTGAGGCAGAAGATGAACACCATGTGCCGCTCCTTGAAGATGCTGAACGTTGCCAGGCTGAATGTAAAGGCTCAGAAGTCAAATCCAGATGGCAGTCCAGATGTGGCCGGGGAGAAAGGGACCCAAAAGACAGCCAAGACAGTCGGAGGAAGAACGGCCAATAGACTCGAGGACAGAGGAAGAGCACTGAGGAGTTGTAAACTCAAAGGTCTCCCTCCATTCTAGAACATACTTGTGTCTGTCATGCTTTTTTTTTGTCAGTCATGGGGACTGAACTCTGGGTCTGGGCCCTGCTCTTCAGCTCAAGGCTACTGCTCGTTCATTGAGCCGCAGTGCCACTTCTGGCTTTTTTTTGCTTATGTGCTGCTGAGGAATCGAACCCAGGGCCTCATTCATGCAAGACAAGCGCTCTACCACTGAACCACCTTCCCAGCCGCTCTATCATGCTTTTATACCACAGAGAACGTGAGTTTGTCAATATTCATGGGACAATCTCGTGAGGTCTTTTTATTTGTTTGTTTAGTTTTGTTGGTCAGTGTGGGGCTTGAAATCAGCTTGGGCACTGTCCCTGAGATTTTTTGCTCAAAGCTAGCACTCTACCACTTTGAGCCACAGCTCCACTTCCGGTTTTCTGGTGGTTTGTTGGAGATATGTCTCATAGACTTTACTGCTTAGGCTGGTTTTGAATTGTGATCCTCAGATCTTAGCCTCCTGAGTAGCTAGGATTGCAGGATGAGCCACTAGCACCCGGCTTCTTTCATGGTTTTATACTCTTCCTCAGCGCGTGTATATTATATATTTTTTTTTTGGGGGGGGGAGTCCAGTCCTGGGGCCTGAGCTCTGGGCCTGGGCGCTGTCCCTCAGCTCTTCAGCTCAAGGCTAGCGCTCTACCACTTGAGCCACAGCGCAACTTCCGGCTTTTTTCTTTTTGCTTATGTGGTACTGAGGAATCGAACCCAGGGTCTCATGCATGCAAGGCAAGCGCTCTACCACTGAGCCACCTTCCCAGCCCTATTATATATATTTTGGTGGTAGTGTAAATGGTAATGTGTTTTCAATTTCAAATTCTACTTGTACGTTGCTGATATGTAGTGTAGCAGAATGATGTACTAACTGCTGGGCCTCACAGTATGCTGGTCAGGCACTGTACCACCTGAGCCACACCCCAGCCTTTGGTTTTGCTGTATTTTTTTCAGGTAGTGTCTTGACTTTTGCCTAGTATTGACCTCAGAATGAGATCCTCCTACATGTGACCTCCAGTGTGGTTGCAATGGCAGGTGGGAAGCACATGGCTGGCTTGTTTTCTGAGACGGGGTCTTGGCTTGTTTTCTTTTTTAGAGGGGGTATGTTTTTTGTTTCTTTTTGCCCTAATTGGCCTCGAACCTCAATCCTCCCAACCTCTATCTCTGGAGTAGCTAGGATCACAGACATGAGCCACTGTTTCCTGCCTAGAAATTTTCTGGGTTTTCTGTCAGACTTCCTACAAAATCATGTCCGCCACGAAAAAGACAATGTTTTTGTTTTCTGTGTGTTTTCTAACTTTAGTGTTTATATTGTACACTTCACGTGTGAAGCATTTCTTAAACCACTTTGTTCCACAGTTTCCCACTCAGGACACAGTGGATGTGGGGGCTGGGTCTTCTCTGTTGGGAAGCGGTCCTGTGCGCTGGAGACTGTTCATGGCGCCTCTTGTCTCCATACATGCACTAGGTCCCGTGACCCTTGCCCCACAGCTGACAGTCCACGCCCTGTCCTTTGCCCAAGGGACAGACACCTCACTGAGACAAGATTTCACCTGAATGTGACCCTTTCACTTTCTCCACAGATTTTAAAACTGAGGAGGAGCTACTATCTTACCTACGTGAAAATTACCAAAAGGCTGTGGCCACAGAAGAAACCGGCTTGTATTCATGCGCCCAGAGCATGCTCTCAACCATTAAGGCATTCCTAAAGTCAAAAGGCACTAAGGAATTCGAAGTAAGAACGCTCAGATCGTGTCATAGATGTAGTGTCGATTGATTGTTCATTTGGCTCGGATATGTGGGGAAAATGCCATTATTCTGTTAGTGACTAAAAACAGAATATGTACAAGGGAGTGAGTCTGCTGCCAGATTTCGGAAGGTGGGTATAGTGGGCTGAGTGGGCAGGGGTAATTACTGGTAATTTTTTGGCTGGTACCATGACTTGAACTCAGAGCCTCATGCTTTTCGCTTGCTTGGTCACAGCTGGTACTCTACAATTTGAGGCATGCCTCCAGCTCTTCTTTTTGCTGGTTAATTGGAGGTGGAGTCTTACATTATTCTGGCTGGGCTGGCTTTACGCAGAGATTCGCAGACCTAAGCTTCCTGGGTAGCTCGGATTAACAGGCATGAGTCCCCAGTGCCTGGCAAAAATGGAGTCTTAAAGACATCTGTGTAAGCAGGGCATTGGAGCTCACGCCTGTCATCCCAGCTACTCAGGAGGCTGAGATCTGAGGATCGTGGTTCAAAGCCAGCCTTGGCAGGAAAGTCCTTGAGACTCTTCTCTCCAATTGATCACCAGGAAACCAGAACTGGCGCTGTGGCTCAAGAGGTAGAGCGTTCGCCTTGAACTGAAGAGCTCAGGGACAGCGCCCAGGCCCAGAGTTCAAGCCCCACAACTGACAGAAAGAAAAAAAAAACCAGCTATAACTCTGTGTGCCCACTGCTCATAAATACTTGTCACCATATATGATACAGAGGACAAATACTCATAGGAGAGGGAAATTTGCAAGCGGACATGTTCTTCTTCTTAGGGCCTTAGTTATTAGCTCCTAAAGAAACCTGAAACAGTGATCATTTCTTACTTAGTAGTATTTTGTGTAATGATTGATTGTATGTTTGCAGGAGACCTGCCTGAATCATATAAAAAGTAACCTCTTAGGAACTAGCAAAAGTCTTCTTCAGAATCTAGAAAAAAAACTGAATAATGAAGATAAAGTCAGAGAGTAAGTACTTATTGATTAATAACTTTAAAACAAAATTGGGATTTGCTCCACTCAGTGTAAAATGACCGCTTGCTTGAAGATGCAGCTGATTCTTTATGTTCTCACGGGCAGCTTGATTATTTATCTAACACTAATTGTTAGGGAAAGTGCTGATCCTTTATTACTATTAGGTAGTGGTACAAAGGAGCTACAATTCTCCAAGTCAGGTTCTGAGTACAATGCTTCTTGGTCAGTGTCAATCTTTCCTTTACTCTCCCCCGTCTTCCCCCTCCCATCCCTACCCTCTAGTAATGTAGTTGATTTTTTACATCATGTACATTGCACATAATGACCGTTTGCTTACCCTTCATTCCCATACCCTGCCCCTGTGCCCATCCCGCCAAAACCACTTCCTGGTATTCATTTTAGTAAATAGTACATTAGTTGTTGGAGGAGTTTCACCTCTGGATTCCTCCCCTACCTCTACCCTTTTTAGTCAGAGTGAATGTTTGTGTATGTGTGTACATGCGTACGTACGTGTGTGTACACATAGAGCCCTGTATGTGTTATCAAAGCAGTGGTTCTTACTGGTGGTTGTTTCTTGGGTAAATATACCTGGGTGGCCCTCCAAGTAGAGATGACTAAGTATCTTCTTTTTTTTCCCCTCCCTCTCAAGGTGCCAACTTCAGGTATTCCTTCGTCTAGAGATGTGTCTGCAGTGCCCTTCTTTTCTAGAATGTTCGGATGAGATGGAGCAAGTAGTGGAGGCGGAGGCAAGTCCCCAGCCTCACGCCCTCAGAACGTGTCCTCCAGCCTCGTGCTGCCCCACACCGGACACATGCTCATTTCCTAAAATCTCCCTTAGATGACAGATTTGCTGCGCCTGTTGTGTCGAGTTGAGGACTCGGCGTACCTGTCCGAGTTTCTGGAGGAGATCCTGGAATTGTAAGTTTGGTGGCGATTAACTCCACCTTCCAGTACATTCATCTGGGGGTTCCCTGTGCTGGGTGCAGGAGGGGAGGTCACTGTGCCCCAGGCTCACCCAGGTACATCAACTGCCCCACAGGTACATCAACTCCATCCCAAAGACGCTGGGAAAGCTTTACGACAACCTCGCATTTCAGATCCCTCAGAAACTGGCCGCCGTCCTTCCTGCTGACTTCTTCAGTGACGACTCCGTCACGCAAGAAAGCAAATCCCCACCCACCTTGGAGCCTGCCGGACCAGGGTCAGGTGGTGCAGAGTCTGACCCGCTGGAGGAGCTCCGCACCAGATCAGCCAAGAAGAGGAGGTAGGAGCGTGGCTGGGAGTCTCGCGCCCACAGGCTCCAGGAGCTAGGAACCCGCCAGGAAATGAGCTGAGGCTCCCGCTTCCTTTCTCAGGGTCCCCTGATGCTTTTCTTTTAGGTTAACTAGCTGGAATGTATGGTAGTTCTCTTACGAAATCCTGGACTTGAATCATTGTCATTGCAAATGAAGGAGTGGCACTCAGATGCTGTTTTTCTTTAAATAGGGCTTATTCCAGACGCAAAAGTAGCTTTGACTCTTCTTTACTCGACTATTTCTTCCTATTTTTAACAGGAAAAACACATTAATACGACACAAAAGCCTTGCAGAGGTTTCACAGAATCTTCGGCAAATTGAAATTCCCAAAGTGCCCAGGAGAGCTACAAAAACCGTAAGTGCTGTCGGCAGAGAGGCGGCTCCTAGAGTGGAGGCGGCGTGCAGGGCCGGCCCGCCGCGTCCCTCCATGCCCTTGCTGCATGGCTCCTCGCATGGCAGAGTATCTGCATAGGGTGCTAACATTCAGAAACTTTATAATTTTAGAGCAATTCATTTTTTGGACTTTTGGGTTAGTGATGTTCAACCGGCCTTAAATATTTATGACTGTGTGTAAAACCATAGCCCCCCAAATAAAGAGTTACAAGCTTGTTAGATTAACCATTTCATCCAAGAGTATAATAGAGGTAATACAAAGAAAAAACAGTAGGAAAAAGTTCAAAATGAACAAATTAACCTGGGTGCTGGTGGATCATGCCTGTCATCCTAGCTCCTCAGGATGCTGAGATCTGAGGATTGTGGTTCGAAGCCAGCCCAGACAGGAAAAGCTGTGCAGCCAGAAGACCGGAGGTAGTGCTATGGCTCAAAGTGATAGAGAGTTCACCTTGAGGAGAAAAACTCAGGGACAGCACCCAGGCCCTGAGTTCAAGCCCCACGACCAGCAAAAAAAAAAGATTTGAGGCTGGGAAGGTAGCTCAGTGGTAGAATGCTAACTTTGAGCAAAAGAAGCTCAGGGATAGTGCCCAGGCCCGGAGTTCAAGCCCTAGGACTGGCAAAAAAGAAAGAGAAAGAGAGAGGAAGGAAGGAAAGAAGGAAGGAAGGAAATACTGATGGGGTTGGGAAGGTGGCTCAGTGGTAGAGTTCTTGCCTTGCATGCATGAGGCCCTGGGTTCGATTCCTCAAACAGAAAATGCTGAAAGTGGCGCTGTGGCTCAAGTGGTAGAGCGCTAGCCTTGAGCTCAAGAGCTGAGGGACAGCGCCCAAATCTAGAGTTCAAGCACCACAACTGACAAAAAAAAGATTCAATCTGTACTTGTGCCTTTGCTCTCTAAAACACCCCCATCCCGTTTTACAAAGCCCAGTGGTTGCTGTGTCTAAGCCTTCCTTGTTCTCTCTGCACCTGCACTGACCAGCGTTCGTCCCGTGGGCATTTTCAGTGTAGGTTCTGTGTGACTCCAGTGCATCTGTTGAGAAGTGTCCGCTTCTGTTTGTGTCCAATGAGTGCAGGGCCAAAGTGCTCCGCTCCCCTGGAACTTCCGGCCTTTTATTTTAGATGCATGCCTGTTGGGCTGACGCAGGTTTCTCTTGTCTTCCAGGCCAGTTCTCAGCCTGCTCCTCCTCCCCCGGTGAAAGACGCCGCAGTGCAAGGTAAGTACCAGCCACTGGAAGGACCAGTTGCTTTCCCTGCCTGCATTTAAATGGCTGCAATGAATGATAGAATGTGGCGCGTAATCACAAATGTCCAAATTCTGCATCTTATAGAGTAATATGCTAGTTATGTGGTCTCAAAATCCAGCAAAAAGACTGGCCTTCAATCTATAAAAATGCCATTGTCATGAAAGAAAAAAAGGAGCAAAGAGGAGAGGCTGTGGAGCTCTTTCAAATGCCAGTCGTTAAAGCGTAGTTGCTGAAGCTACACCCCATGTCCATGGCCTGGGTGCTAAACGAAGAAATGTGAAAGCTACAGAGTCTGTGTTAGACGGTTGGAGAAAGCGGAAGGACTGTTTGCAGCATGCTGCTGTGCTGGCCTGTGGGTGTTGTCTCAGCAGACAGAGACCCTGAGGCTAAAGATCTCAGGCTGCTCTCCTGGGTGCACTAGCCGGAGAGGGAGGGAGGAGCAGCTATTGACAGCTGATGAACGTAGTGATGTTTACTGGGTTCTTTTGTGACGTTTTCTGTAGCCATCACACGTTTCAGAACTTTGGATATCATACGGCAATGAGTGAAACACGTTCAGGTCAGAAGTGAGTCTCACATGGAATCTGAGCAGGTGACAGGGACTAGGGATACACTTTGGTGTGTGTCACGTTATTCATGTCCTTAGCATTTCTGAGGTTGATAGATGGACCCAAAGGCTGCTCCCATTTGGGGACTCTTCATCTGTGTGAGTTGTTCGGAGAATTCACCTGTGGTGAATTTCGCGTCACCTACCCTGGCTCTTGCCAACTTTGCCAAGGGTTTTTCAGCTTGACCACTGTCTTCCTTCACCTCCAGTCTAGGTGGCCAGAAGGGGATTTAAGACAGTCCATCAGGCCAGTAAATTTATCCAAAGAAATGAAATTAGTGCAGTTGAAAAGAATCCTCTCTGCAAAGCTGGATTGACTGCAAGAGAGCAAAAAGTCTAAAATGGGGGAGAACAATGGGAGCGTTGGAGTTTCTAACAGGACAGGCTCTGGGTTGCTGTGACCCAGTATCTGAGCACATCAGCTTAAGGGAGGAGTTATTTTGGCTCGTGGCCTCTGGGGCTTTAGTCCATGGTGGTGGAGGATGTGCCAGAGCAGAGAAGCTTGCACATGGTGGCAGGAAGGAGAGGTGGCTTTCTCCTTTCCCCTTCCATTCCATTCCCGCTCCTAAGGAGGCGCCGCCCACATTCCCCCAACTATGCTCATTCTCAGGGAATACCTCTGTAGATACGCCTGGCGTGACTGCCTCATCTAGAGAATCAAGTCCTCTTGCTTAAGCATGATGTCTATTTCATAGCAATCAAGCTTTTAATTGAGTAAAAGATGTGGTCATCCTTATCTTCTGGGATGCTGGGTTTAAACTGCACTTGTAGGGGCTGGGAAGGTGGCTCAGTGGTAGAGCGCTTGCCTTGCATGCCTGAGGCCCTGGGTTCGATTCAGCACCACATAAGCAAAAAGAAAAAAGCCGGAAGTGGCGCTGTGGCTCAAGTGGTAGAGCGCTAGCCTTGAGCTGAAGAGCTGAGGGACAGCGCCCAGGCCCAGAGTTCAGGCCCCACGACCGGACACCCCCCCCCAAAAAAAAATAAAATAAACTGCCTTGTAATGGAATAGAATACCACAATGGAATACAATGATAGACCAACAAGGTACAGGTTAAATAGACATTCCTAGAAGGTCGCAAGAAGGGAAAAAATGCCCAGGACTAGATGGTTTCATTAATGATTAAAAGAGAATGAGGAACTAGCATTTATTAAGACCAAATGATTAGCCACAGTGCCAAAACAATTCCTGGGAATGGCGTTGAGACTATTGGATACCATTGCACGCTTATTTTTAAGTGCAAAATCACATACATTTTTGGAATCTAGAGTAAACAGTTCGAAGGTGCTGGTGGTAAATGGTCTAAGGAAATATGCTGTAGTAACGGGGCATGAGATGGCTTCTCTCAGGAGCTGCTCTGTTTCACTGATGGTCAGAGTCAGTTGTTTATTGTCTTCTACTGCCCTGTGCTTTCAGAAGTTACCAAAGTTCGCAGAAATCTCTTCAACCAGGAAATGCTTTCTCCTTCAAAGAGATCCCTGAAGCGTGGACTGCCTAGAAGCCATTCCGTGTCGGCTGTGGAAGGCCTAGAGCATCAACCGCAAGGCTTCAAGAAGACCCGAAGCACTGCATCACAAGGTACCAGAGGACAGGGGGCACTGCTCCACCCGGGCCCGGACCGCTCACCGGGCAGGCTCCACGGCCTCCTGCCCAGAGTACACACAGCCAAGGGTGTGTCAGTGTCTGGTGTGTCTGGTGTCAGTGTCTCCTGGCTTAGTCTTCTCAGGCTTGCCTCTCTCAGCCAGTTTAGCTTCAGGTTTATTCATGTTACCTGATCTCTTTAAGGAACTTGAACTTTTCTCTCATGATTTTCTAATCTTGATTTCATCATTTACTTATTTTTATTTACTTGGGTTTTAGTTTTGTGTGTTGTCTTCTTTAATTTTATTTTTCAAGACACAATCGTGCTTTCTAGACCATGCTGGCTTTAAACTCATGTCTCGGGTTTTGAAGGTGAAGGTTAAGTGGCTGGTTTGAGACTTCTTTTACACAGCATTTCCAGGTATAAACTGCCCACTAAGCGCTGTTCGAGCTGCATCCTGTCTGATGTCTTTTCATTGTTGGCATCTAAAAATATTTTCTGCCCATCGGTCATTTAGAAATGTGTTAAATTCCTTGTGTTTGTGAGTTTCCCCAATACCCTCCTGTTTTGGGATCTCTATTGAGACCCTCAGATCTCAGCCTCCTGAGTAGCTAGTATTACAGGTGTGAGCCACTGGTGTCCGCCTCTCTGTAGTCACTTAAATTCACTCTAAAACTCTTCCATGCATAGAATGGCTACCTACTCTACTGAGAGTTATTATATGCAGTTAGAGTTATTATTTGCATACACTTAATTTTATTTAGTCGTAAGCAGCACTGACAGCATGGACAGATGGTTAAGGAGCACATAGTCTCCCTCAGAATTGCTTTTGTGATATTTTGGATCCGCCTTTGTGGTCATAGGATTTCCAACAGTGCTGACACACTGTTGAACCCTGGGCATGTAGAACATAGCTTGAAGACCATGGTCCCCCCTCTAGCTCGGCAGAGTCCACGCATGGATTCCCACTGCTGCGCCTCCTGTACCTCTGCCTGAGTAGGTCCAGCGAGGCTCATCGTGGAAGCCCTTGCCTTGCAGGTTATCACAGACTGCTGACCAAGCGCGTGGCCGAGACTCCGGTGCACAAGCAGACATCGCGGAGGCTGCTGCACCGCCAGCTGAAGGGCAGGTGAGTGCTCGGCCTCATCCTGGCCAGGGTGGGCACATGGCCTTATCTGGACTGGCACAAGTGTGCATGTGCACACGCATACTCACACACACATTATTGTCATCTTTCTTCTGTAGACTGGTTCTTTAAGGATTCAGTGGATTCATTCTTTTGTGTGTGTGAACTCAAGAGGCTGGTACTGTACCACTCAGCCATGCCTCCAGCCCAGACTCATTTTTTTGGTCGGTCATGGGGCTTGAACTCTGGGCCTGGGCGCTGTCCCTCAGCTCTTCAGCTCAAGGCTAGCGCTCTACCGCTTGGGTCACAGCGCCACTTCTGGCTTTTTCTGTGTATGTGGTACTGAGGAATCGAACCCAGGGCTTCATGCATGTGAGGCAAGCACTCTACCACTAAGCCACATTCCCATCCCTGAAACTTTTGAAATACATTAATGGCATTAATGAGTCTGGCTGGGCGCCAGTGGCTCTCGCCTATAATCCTAGCTACTCAGGAGGCTGAGATCTGAGGGTTGCGGTTTGAAGCCAGCCTGGGCAGAAAAGTCCGTGAGACTTTTTTTTTTTTTTTGGTTGGCCGTGGGGCTTGAACTCTGGGTCTGGGCACTGTCCCTTCAGCTTAAGGCGAGTGCTCTACCACTTGAGCTACAGCCCCTTTTGGTTTTTTCTGGTGGTTTATTGGAGATAGGAGTCTCACGGTCTCTCCTGCCCGGGCTGGCTTTGAACCGCGATCCTCAGATCTCAGCCTCCTGAGTAGCTAGGATTACAGGCGTGAGCTACCAGCGCCCAGCTTCTGTGAGACTTTTATCTTCAATAAACCACCAGAAAACCAGAAGTGGCACTGTGACTCAAGTGGTAGAGCGCTAGCCTTGAGCAAAAGCAGCTCAATGACAGTGCTCAGACCCAGAGTTTAAGCTCCAGGACTGGCAAAAATGAAAATAAAAAGTTACAGCTAAGTATTATACTATCTCAGAAATGCATAGCAACATGGGAATGTCTTCGTGGGAGTTACAGTTTCTGTCAGTTTGCCAAGGACTTCTGACTGATAAATTTCCCTTCTCGCAAGTGAATAAAATCTATATACAAATAATGGTCAGACGGAATTTGACCGGATGAAGATGCACCTCTCTGGACACTATAAAACAAACAGAAGAGAGCATTCTTCAGATTGAACATTCAATTTGATGTTGTAAAATTACTTTCCATAGAATAGCACTTTAACCCCCTCATCCTCAAGAGGGGTCATACCCAGGGCTGGACTCATGGTTGTGTGTGCCCTTAGCTTAAGCAAGGTCTTGGGTTCAATTCCCAGCACCAAAGGATCTAATGACAGTCATGTAGATTGCCATCCCCTAATGCTGTCCAGTCCTGTGGTCTTTGCCACCTAATTAGATGAGACGTGAATGTGTGTCACTGCGTGGTGTTGAGATCTTTGTGCTGCTGGTTTTCAAGGTCCTCTGATCCTGGCCCTGCAGTTGATGTGGTTGAAGAGTCCCCAGAGAAAGGAGAAGGGGGTGAGTGTGCTCTCTTTTTTACAATCTCCGGACTTCTCTAGAAATCTTTCTGTACTTGGGTGGCCACTCAGCACATTCTCAGACAGTTTGAAGCTGTGATGGCTCACGGCCACGGGGGACAACCTTCCACAGAGCACTTGCTGAGTTCCAGGTCACACTGTACAGACCTCATTTATCAGCGCCTGTCATGTCTCTTGAAGGTGACAGTCCAGTAGGTCAGTGGGGTTTAGATTTAGAAGTCTCAAGCCTCTGTGGATTTCCATCTCATGGAGAGCTGTATCGCAATGGATGTGCCCCTTTCCGGCGACACGGGAAGGGACCACGTAAGCTGGACCTCCTTCCCGGTCGCTGACTCTGGTTCTGTTTCACAGAAGCAATTCTGAGACGAAGTCCTCGGATCAAGTCGTTGACATTTGGCAGAGCACATTCTAGTTCCTTCTATTCTGTGTCCCAGCCAAAGTCTCGCAGTGTGCAAAGAGTCTGCTCCTTCCAGCAGGACACATCAGGTAATCCTGGCCGTGTCAGCCTCCACAGCCCCACGCGGCTTGGTGGCAGTGTTAAGATCAGCGCGCGACACTTGTCAGGGTGACGCCTGGATGAACAGTCAGCATCCCTCCCACAACGGTAATAAGCAGTCACAATGTCTACCAGGCGGCTCGACTGCGCGTGTCCCAGCAGAGGGGGCCGCTCTGCGCTGATCCTTCACCCTCAGTCGTGATTAGAGTATCCAAGCTGGGCTTGAGTTGAGGCCTCATTACACCCTGGAGGCTGCGAGCAGTGACCGAGCCATGGGTGCCGCCGGGCAGGTCCCCCGCCCCTGCCCCGTGTCGCTACCAGTCTCCAGAAGCGTTTAATAATGCTTTTGTTTGTGACTTGCAGACCAGAGAGAGAAATCTCCAGTCCAATATTTCCAGTCCCCCAAGAAGCTCCTCTTTGGAGCTCTGTGTGGGGTGGTGAGCCCCGCAGAGAGGGGTGCAGCCCCAGTACAGAAGCATTCAAGAGGTGCGCTGGGCTCGGAGGTGCCTGCAGCTTACCAGGTATAGAAGTTCCAGTGCTTAAAAGAGGATGGTCTGGAACCTGTGGTCCAGTGGGGAGAGAAGGCAGGGGGTGTGTTGCTAAAGGGACCGCAGAGGAGGGATGTGGGAGGATGGGGGCGGTCTGGGCACGCCGCTTCAACACCACGCGTCTTCCCTGAGCCGCCTCGGCACGCCCCGGCCTCCGCGCGTCTGCTGCCCGCTCCCGCCTTGCTGCTGCAAGCTGGGGGCTCGCTCGGGCACAGCCACTGAGACGGGCTTGGTACTCACACTCACACACGCATACGCATACGCTCGTGCACCAGGTCAGCTCTACTTCAGACAGGTCACTCTCAGATCCATCCCTCATCCAGAGGTGTCTTTCTGGAACATTCAGCTGACCTTGCTGAAAAGGCTGTCCATCTTGTAAGCCCAGCGGGGTTTCCCTCTGGGAAGGAAGGAGGGCGCAGCGCGTGTGGCTGAGGTGCTCTGGTCCTCCCTGCCCTGTCCCGCACGTGGCCGCTGGCTTCACATCTGTTCTCCTAGCCTTCCTCCCTGGGGTCCTCACACGTCCCTGCTCCTGCTCCTGCCATAGTGTTAGCGGGAGCCTGCAGCTCGCTGAGCCTGACGCCAGCGCCGTCCCCTGAAGCAGTCCAGGAAGGCTTGCAGGAAGATGTTGCCAACTTCCTGGTCAGAAGGAAAGGACGCACGCACGCACGCACACACTCGCACGCACGCACACACTCACACACACACTCACTCACACACACACACTCACACTGTGCTTGCTGCATCGCAGTGGTTGGCAAGCACTAGCTGAATGGAGCCAAGAGCAAAGCGACTTTGGTGAAGGCTAGACCTGTGTGTGGGGAAGGAGCGCGGTGCGGCAGGTTAATGGCCCCGCTGTTAGGTGAGGGGAGAGGAGGCCCTGCTTGGGAAGGTGCTGGCTGTCTGCTGGGGTCTGGTGTTCTCATGTGTGGATTCCTGGGGCGGGGCCGTGGGTCGTGGCGCTCCAGCACTGAAACAAGCATTTCTCTTCCCAGACTCCTAAGAAGAACTGCATGCCATCTCCAACCTTTCCCAAAACCACCCCGAAAAAGCGCCCTGGATCACCACGGACGCCCTTCCGCACCCCCACCAGGCCGCAGAGCCGCCCCGCACGCCAGACACCTGCAAAGCCGGCCCCTGTCCAGGCCTCCTCGCAGGGCAGCAGCTCCCCGGGGACCCCTGGAGTCCCCCAGGAGAGACCCTCTGTGGCAGCAGGGACCTCTCCTCCTCTGGGGACGAAGACCCCAAGAACTCCCTGCAGGCCAGCGGCCCCGGCCCCCGGGCCTGTGCTGGACGAGGAATGGCCACATTTGGTGACTCCCAGCCCGGAGGACCTGGCCCCCTCCCCCACCCAGCCCAGGTGTGCGGGGCCGAGCACTGTGGAGCTCACCCCCAGGACCCCTCCCAGGGCTGAGCCCCCGCCATGGGACCTGGCACACAACCTAACCGTCACTCCAAGGACTCGACTTCCCTCACCTGGGAGTGCCATGAGGAGCACCCCTACCAGGTCCCCTCCTGGAGAGCTGGGATGGGGAGACCCCCCGCCGGACCCCTCCACGCCCCCCCGAGCCTCCCCTCTGCGGCCTGACGCTGGGACCCGGGGCAGGAGGCCCTCCGATCTCCAATCAGGCCTGTCCGCGGGCTCTGCTGCTCCTGTGCTCAGCCCGGCCATCAGGACAAGCTGTGGAGAGGCCCCGAGCCCTGAAAGACGGGGTCACCCAGGCACTGATTTGGAAAGCGGCAGCCCTGTGTCTTCTGTGTTCCCCGCAAGGGACACAGAGTACCTCACTCTGCTGGAGGAAGCCGAGGGCGGTGGCTGGTCACCAGAGGGAGAGCCACCGGCCCCCGAGTGTGATCCTAGGGTTCCTGTGCCCTCCTGGGAGCCCAGCACCCCCGAGCTACTGCTCCCCACCCTGGGCCGCAGTGCGGACCCTGTGCAGTGCCAGCTCGCTGCCGACCGGACCTTCGAGGTAGAGCTGGAGGTGCAGGCAGGCGGCCTCCCCAGGCTCCGGATCCGAAAGAAGCCTGAGGGGGCTGAGGAGGGGGACCCCGAGTGCTCCCCCAGACCGGGCCCGCCCCAGGATGCCTGCTGCCCGCTGCCTGCACATAGCACGCCCGGCAAGGCCGGGGCGCAGACGTTCATCTGCCAGGCCTGCACCCCATCCCGCGGGCCGCCCGGCACCCACTCTCCACCCACGGCCAATGCGGGGGTCCCCTGGACACCGTCACCGAAGCAGAGCGGGAAGACGACGCCCGACGCCATCCAGGCCTGGCCACGCAGGAAGCGTGCGGTGGACTGCGGCACGTGGCCCGGCCCTGAGGACGGAGAGCTGGACGGGGTGAGCCGGCTGCTGGACCTGACCCCGCCGCGGGCCGCCTCCGAGGACACCTGGCCCTGGGCACCGCGGGGGCCCAAGCGTGCGCGCGAGGCCCGCGGGGAAGACGCCGGGTCTCCGGGCTGGGCAGTGCCCACGGACGACGACGAGGTCTTTGTGTCGGGTGAGTGGGCGCCCGGCCTCCAGGGGCTCAGCGAGGGCAGCTCGGGGTCCCGGGCCCCCGCTCACGTGTGGCCTCTCCTAGGCGCCACCCCTCCCGGCTGGAGCAGCCTCTCGGCCAGCAGCCTGCAGGCCCTCACCCAGTCCCCGCTGCTGTTCCAGGCCCGGACACCCAGCTCGCAGGGCAGGGACCCCAGAGGTAATACACGGCTAGCCCCCATGGAGTTGGGAATCTGGGACCCCCCCCACCGAGCCCCTTGTGGATGTTGGGGTCTGGCCTGCTAACTGCACCCCTGGTCTGGGCCAGGCATGTGCTCGGAGTTGAGCCAGCTCAGAGAAAGAGCAAGAGCCAGGCACCAGTGGCACAGGCCTGAGCCTAGCTGTGCAACAGGCTGGGAACTGAGGGTTATGGTTCAAAGCCAGCTGGGGCAGGAAGGTTGGAGACTTAAACCAGCAAAAAGCCAGAAGTGGAGCTGTGGTTCAAGTGGTAGAACACTAGCTTGAGCAAGAAAGCTCAAGCCCTAGGACTGGCACACAGAAAAACTGGGTCCCCCAGGGTACGTATAAATCATAGCAAACAGCATAAAGCCCACGGATCCAAGACCTAAAAGTAGATGCAAACTCTGGAGTTTGCACCATGCCGCAGGGGTTCTAGCTGCTGACGGCAGCCTAGCCGCACTGGTGACCTGTGCTGGCCCGCTGGGCAGCCCTGGCTCACCCACCTCTGCCTCCTCCCAGGTGCCGCGGGCGCGCACCCCTCCGCCCCAGATGAGTCTCCTTTTAGCCGCGCGCTCCCCCAGAGACGCCCCTTCAGCAGAACTTACACACGCAAGAAGCTCATCAGCTAGTGTGGCAGGCAGAGCTCCACGTAGTCCACTGCGGACTCCACCAGTGTGCCCAGAACTGCAGCGCCCGGGCCTTAACCGGACTGAGACAGTTCAAAAGGTGCTCCCGCCAGGACCCCTTGGGCCTGATCCCCAGTCTCCTCTCGAGATGAAGTCTTGCTGTGCAGCGACCCTCTGCAGTGCTGGGATTACAGGTTTGCTCCACCGCCCAGGCACACACCCGCGGTGCAGATTGTCCTTGGATTCCGCAAGCACTGCGGCTCCCGGTGCAGCGCAAGCGGCCTGGGATGGGGAGAGCAAGCCGCAGGACCATGGCCTCCTGCTCCACACGGCTGGAGTCTGCACCCTGCCCACCGTCCTGCAAGGAGCCGCCCACATCAGCAGTGCTCTTTACACTGTGAACCCCCAAAACCCTAACACCTGCGCCGGCGACAGGGTGAGATTTTTACATTCTCTGTATAACAATAAAATCATCAGGCTACTCGGCATTCAGTGCTTGGTCCAATGTCCCCACCTCATGCTGGCTGAGGGCATGTCCAGTGCGCCCGGCCCGCCCGTTCACTGCCCAGCTCTCGCTCCGCCTGGCACCCACTGAGCCCAGGAAGCAGAGCCAGTGGCGATGTCACGGCCTCCCAGGGCCCCGCGAGGAGCTGGCGCTGCTCCCCGGCTTTCTCTTTGAGACGGCTGTGGCATGTGTGCAGGACGGGCAAGGACACCCGCCACGGAGCTGCCCTCCACCAGGCCACGCCGCCCCCGGGGGTCCCAGCGCCTCCCACCACACCACACCAGCTAGCGGACATTTCAGATTCAAGCCACAGGAAGAGATCACATCCCTGTTTATTGCAAAATGGTTTGTAAAAGTTCTAAGAAAATAATTTCCCACGTCCCCTGGCTACGTAGACCTTTGCTGCATAGACACCTGCCGCAGCTGACCTATACTGGCCTTGGGCCGACCCAGCACACGGGCCTGAGCCCGGAGCCTGTGTCCCGAGTCCCACACCACGAGCAGCTCAAATTGGGTCGCAAGGATTTACGTCTACTTGCAAAGTAAGGGCTGGAGGTGTGAGAACAGGTGCATCCCAGGTACAGCAGAAGAGCCCACTTTGGGGCTGAAGCCCCAGATGCCACCATCCGTGGGCGTGAGCAGGGCGGAGGCAGCCTGGCCCCCGGCTCTACAGGGGATTCCTGCGGACATCGATCATGCCCGGGCTGGCTCTTCGGGGCTCCCACCGGGACTTGAGCAAGGGTCCGAAGTTCCAGGACAGGCCCCCATCCCCTGCAGGTAACACCCGGGCCCCTAGGGGCTCGGCCACCTCCCGCGGCCTTGGGTCCTCTGGGGAGCCCTGCTCCTCGCCGCCCAGGCTGCTGCAGCGCTTCCACGTCAGGGGCAGGGGCCCCCGCACCGGGTCCCTCGGCTCCTCCCTGGCTCGGGGCCCGGCCTCGAGGGAGGGCGGCCAGAAAAGTTCAGGGCCTGCTGTGTGCAGCCCATCTTCTCCAGGAGCCTGTCTGTGCTCCATGCCGAGGGTCCGCCGTTCTCCCCCTGCAAGAGAACAGCGGGTCCTTGGGGGAGATGCTGTCCTCACACCTGGCTTCCCCGAGGCCCAGTGCTGTGAGCGACTGGAACGAGCCAGCAGAAACAAGCATGATCCGGCACCAGGGCCCAAGTCTGCCCTAGCTACTTGGCAGACAGATCAGGGATCACAGGTGGCCGGACACACCCAGCGTTGCTGGGGCCTGGCCGGTCAGCGCAGAGAGGAAGGAAGCACGGAGCCTATGCCAGCCCAGGTAGAAAGCAAGACCCAGCCCAGAAAATGACTTCCACCAAAAGGGACTGGTGGAGTGGCTCAAGTGGTAGAGCACCTGCCTAGCAAGTAGGCAGCTCTGAGTTCAAGTACTGGAAACAACGGTGCAGGTGAGTGGTCAAAGTGTTCCCCCAGAGAAGTGTGTGACTTCCAGCAGTGCGGCCCAAGCTGGGACTGGGTCCCCGGGCTGGGTGAGCATACTTACCCCTGCCTGGGCCGGCCACGCCGCCCCCGGGGCCCCCGAGCTTCTGCCGCAGCTCCTGGTTTATCCACAGGTGGCGTCCCAGTTCCTTCTCCAAAGCTTGAATCCGGGCTTCGTACTGCCTCTTGCTGTCTGCCAGCTCCTCGCCCAGGTGGTCTAGCGAGGGAAGGCGGAGGAGAGGGGCGTGAGGGGCTGCGGGGAGGGCTGAGGGGCTGCGGGGAGGGCTGAGGGGCTGCGGGGAGGGCTGAGGGGCTGCGGGGAGGGGGGCGCTGGCCGCCCACCTCGCCCCTGCTGTAGCAGCAGCTGCACGCTCTGCTCGTGCTCCTTCTGCTGCAGCGTCAGCTGCCGGTCCATCTCCAGGCGCTGCCGCTCCAGAGCCACCTCCAGCCAGTACACCAGCCGCTGCTGCTCCTCCAGCTGCATCTCCAGCTCCGAGAAGGCGATCTGCTGCCGGTGCTGCTCCTCTCGCAGCGTCACCACCTGTCACGCGGCGGCCCTGGGTCACGGGCGGGCCCTCAGCCCCAGCCTGTCCCCTGCCACCGCTGGAGCGGGCTGCCTGACCTTGTCAAAGTACTTGCAGAGCAGGGCTCTGGTCTCGGAGGAGGAGAGGTAGCTGAGCTTGGCCATGAGGTTCATCTCGCACTGGGACAGCAGGGAGGCCGAGGCCCGCAGCACCCTCTGGCGGCTCGTGATGGCCTCGTTCTTGTACTCGATGGCGGCGTCCAGGGCCTCGATGGCCTCGTCCAGCTGGAACAGCGTCCGCTCCTCCTGCGGGACACGGGCGCAGGTAGAGGACGGGGCTCGCGCCGGGGAGCGGGGGCAGGGCGGCCACCGCGGGGCGCACCTCGGGGGACAGCAGGCTGCCCTGCCGCAGCTTGCCGTCGATCTCCAGGCGCTGCTTGAGCAGGGCGTCCTTCTCCTGGCGCAGGGCGTCGATCTCGCCGCGGATCTGCTGCTGGCTCTGGGCGCTGCCCTGCCGCAGCTGCCCGCTCTTCTCAGACAGCTCCTTCTCCAGGTGCTCGAGGCGGCTGGACACCCGCACGATGTCCTCATTCAGGGCCTGGGGACAGACAGCACCGCCAGGGGTCAGGGAAAGAGCAAGCATGGTCCTCACGGGTGACAGAACGGGCTGTGGACTCCCCGAAGGACAAGGCGGGTACGTCCCTCCCACAGGAGACCCACAGTACTGACGCCCCAGCTCCCAGAGCGCAGAGCAGGGCGCAGGGCAGTGGAGGGAGGCGGCCAGCACTTGGCCACTAACACCCGCGGGCCCTAGAGTTCCCGTGGCTTCATTTGCGGTCGCGTAGGGCAGATTCACCTGCCTGAACTTGCCTCGTAGGAACGTCACCTGGCAGAGACTCATCTTGGGTAAATGTCTCCAGGCTGGTTCTCTGCTGGCAGAATTTCCCCAGGCATGGCCTCCCCTAGCCGGCCTCACCTGGCTGGACCGCAGGCGCTTGCTCTCCAGCCCTGTCTTCTCCTGCACCAGGGCCTCCTTCTTGGCCAGGATGACCTCCCGCTTGCGGAGCTCCTCCCCCAGCTCCTCCAGCGCCCGCCGCTGCTGCAGCACCTTCTCCATCTCCTGGTCCAGCCACCTCTTCTGCTCCTCGATCTTCTGAGGGTGCGGCGACGGGGTGGAGAGCCCTCAGCTCCCCGCCCTGGTGGAAGGCTCCACCCACCCACGGCCCGCAGCGGCCAACCCCGCTGCAGAGCACGCGCGCCCCGCCCACCTGCTGCTGCTCCAGGCTGACCACAGAGCCATTGCTGCCGCTGCGCCTCTTCCTCTGGAAGGCCGCGATCTCCTCCGTCTTGATCTTCAGGATCTTCTGCTGCTGTTCGTGCTTCAGCTCCAGCTCCTGGCAGAGGAGCCCGTGGACGTGGCTGGCCAGAGAGACGCCCCGCGCCCCTCCCAGGCCTGCCCTGTGCACCCACAGCCACGGACCGGCACGCGGGCGCAGATGCTCGCCAGCTCCCAGCACCCCCGTCACCCACGAGCTCCAGCCCACTCAGCCCTCCCCAGAGCTGGGTGCCCAGGTCTCAGAGGGGCTGTAGCCCACGCGTTGTAAGGTCACAGGGGAGGAGGAGGCCCGGCCCCACGCGCCCCGGGCCCGGCCTGACCTTGACACGGTGCTGCCGCTTGTTCATCTCCGTCTCCAGGCGCCGCTTCTGCTCCATCTCGTCCCGCAGCCGCTGCTGCAGCTGGCTCTGCTGCTGCCGCATGAGCTGCACATTCCTCTCCAGCTCCTGCAGCCGCTTCTCGCGCTGCGCCGACAGCGACACCAGCCGCTCGGTCGCCTGCTTCTTCTCTTTCAGCACCTGGGACCCGTACAGCCGTGCGTGGGGCCCCTGCTCGCCCCTCGCCAAGGACCAACGACCAGACAAGGGACGCAGGGCAGAGGGGCCGGGCAGCCGCCGGGCCTGCCCCATGCACCCAGCGCTGACAGCCGGGCTCTGGGTTTGTGAAACAAACCGCACCAGCATGACAATCGAGACTCCTATTATCCCCTTCGGTTCCGATTGGGAAACCTTAGCACAGAGAGTTTGGGGAACTTAACCCCAAGACATAGCACAGCTGGGGTCCACCCAGAAGTCAGCCCCAGAGCCCAGACTCCTGACCGTCCCTTTGGATGGATGTCTGTACTGAAGGAGGGGAGGAGAGGAGAAGCAGACAGGATGGGAAGGAGGGGGAGGGCGAGAGCATGGAGAGGTGAGTGGAATCCCATGAAGGTAAAAATTAGGGAAGAGGGGCCGGGGGCCGTGGCTCAGTGATGGGTGCAGGCCCTGGGTTTGTCCTCAACCCCACAGGACAGATCAGCAAGGATGGACAGTACTATGGCCCAGATGGGAGTCCCGCCCCCCAGCCCCGTACTCGAGACCTGACTGGAGGCGCACTGGGCCCCTAGGCAGCCACGGGGGGGTAAATGAGGCCACAAGGGGCCACACCCAGGGCAGAAGGCGTCCACACACACGGAGGGCGGGTGCCCGGGGAAGGGCAGCGAGGACAGTGTCCCAACCTAGGACCCCAAGAACACAGCACGGGTAGCAAAGAACACAGCTGCCACAGCCACCAGTGGACAGAGGGCAGGTGCCACGTGGGTGCTGTCTGCCCAGTGGCCCATGGGAAGGTAAACTGATGGCATCCAAAGGACGGACAGACGGGTGGACTGGGAGGGAAGGGGGAGTGGTAGCGGGAGCAAGCCGGAGGGCAGAGCCCCGCCTTGCTGGGTCTGTGCACAGGGCTGCCCGCCAGCCCTGCGGCGCTGGGGGCCCAGCGGGGCCGGCTCCTGTACACGCCAGACAGAGCGGGCAGGGCTGCGCACGGGGCCCGGGCGCACAGGGCCCCGGCGTGGGCGTGGCACTGACCTGCACCTGGCTTTGGGCGGCAGCCACCCTCTTTTGGAACTCCTGCAGCCGGGAGCGCTCGCCTGCGTCCCGCGGCTCCCGGGCCTCCAGCTCCCGCAGCTGCCTCTGGCCCTCGCTCAGCTCGGCCCGCGCCCGCTCCGCCTCCCGCTCCAGCTGCCCAATGCGCTGGCTGTGCTGACGGTTCAGGGCCTGGGCCGCCTTCCCTGCAAAGCAAGGGGGAGGCCCCGGTGGCACGGGCACGGCACGGCTCCCGGAGCGGAGCTGCTTTTCCCGCGGCCTGGATGCCTGCGCGGGTTGTGCCGCGGAGACAAGCAGAAGGCCCCCCTCCTCTCCCGCCCCGCGCCCCCTCCCTTTCTGTGCTTCAGATAGGATCTTCCCCTTTGCTCCTGGGGCTGGAAGCGCACAGTGCCATCCTGGCTCATCCTCTGATAGCGGGTGTCACTACTTGGGGGGAGGGGTGGGTGGAGGCCGGGTTGGCCTCGAACTGCAGTCCTAAGTGAAGTGCTGTGAGGATTCTGCTGCGCACAGGGAGGCCGGTCTTACGCGCTGGGCATGAGAGAGTTTGCAGCGGCAGAGTGCTCGCCTGCTCCAGCCCCAAGTGACGTGCGCTTTGTAAAATGTGCTTTATGGTTATATTTTTTTTAAATGTCCAAATATTGTTGAACGGTGACAGGACAGAGGACGGGAAGACACGGTGTCTGCGGTTTGCATCAAATCTACCAGCCCTGAATACGGGGAATCGGAACCAATGGGGGGAAACTTAGGGTCTGCAAAGCCTGGACAGGAAGTCTCCAGAAAGGGGAGGCACCCTCGCTACTCAGGAGACTGAGATCTGAGGATCGTGGTTCAAAGCCAGACCCAGGCAGGAAAGTCTGTGAGACTCTCAACTCCAATGAAAGTGCCAAAAAGCCAGAGGTGGAGCTGTGGCTCAGGTGGTAGAGCACCAGCCTTGAGTGAAAGCTAAGGGACAGGGCCCAGACCCTGCGCTCAAGCTCCAGTACAGGAAAAACAACGACAAAAGGAAGTCAGTGCATTCCCGTCACCCCCCTCCTACCCCCCCCCCCCCCCCCCACCGCTTCTCAGCCTCTTCACTGGAAACTGCACAGGAATCTGTCACACACTCCCAAGCATTACAATAACTCCAGGGGCTAAACACCCCCCCCCAGGCTGCCCTGCTGATGTGGCGAGGCTGGGCATGCGCACGCTGGAGCAGGCAGTCCTGAGCAGTCAGCCCCACCGCGGACGGCCCATGTGAGCCCTCCGGAGCCACCGTGCTTCACCACAAACTGCTGTGGAAGCGCAGCCAGCTCGGGCCCCAGGTTAGAGGAGGAAGCGGACAGGCGGGGGGGGTCAGGTGGCCGGCTCGAGGCCGCGCAGCTGCACCTCCCTCCCAGGAGCCACGGGCAGGGAGTGGGGGACGAGGCCCACCCCGCGCCAACCTCACCTGTCCGAACCAGCTCCCCAATGAGCTCCTCCTTCATGCGGATGTTGATGGCCAGCTCCCGGATCTTCTGCTGGGCCTGGGCCAGCCGCCACTCCCAGGCTGAGGCGGCGGGGGCCTGGCGGGTGGGGACCACAGCCTGACGGCCACCGGCTGCTGGAACAGGCAGACGCCAGGGCCTCCCTGGGTGAAAAGCTGCCAGGGTGTGTGCCCGGGAAAGAGCCCCGCTCCGCGTCCCTCCCAGCTCACGTTTGGGCCCGGGGACGGCAGATCCCGGCTCCTGAGGGCAGGCCTCTGGGTCCTTCCTGTCCGGCGGGCTCCCTGGCCTCTGCCTCTGGCTCCAGTGGCTGACTCCATTCCTGGTGAGCAGAAGCGAGAGTCTGCCCTGCTCCGCAGCCTGCCCCTGGCCCCTGACCCCTGGTTCCAATCCCAGCCCATCGCCTGGGCCTGAAGGAAGAAGCTACTAGGCCCTCCAGCCCCCAGGAGGAGAATCTGGGAGAATCCAGAGAACAGAGAGAGCGTGGGGTGCTTCCATGCAGCTGGGGGAATCAAGGGCCACCTGGGGGGATTCAGCGGCTTAGGTCACCCCATATTAGAGCCTCAGCCACGACTCCCTGTCAGGCCAGCAATGGACTCACCTGCGGAGGTGTAAGGCCCTCCTGGGCAGCTCCTCTTCTTCCTCTGAAGAGGAGCCGCTCTCCAGCCTGTCCACCTCGGCCAGCAGCTCGGCTCCAGCCTCCCTGCCGTCTGTCACCTGCTAGGAGAGTAGCGGGGGCTGGGGAATCCAGCAGACATCTTCTGGGCCTTTCCCACCCCGGCTCTACCCTTGCAGAGCGCTGCCCCTCCTGGGCACCACCCCCAGGCCAGCCCAGCCTTCCCTGCCAGGCCAGGCTCAGCTGGGCACACGCCTGCCCCCACCCCAGCTCCATGGCACCTGGCTCTCAGGCACAAATGGTTCGACCCAAGTCCTATCTAACTACCCAACCCTGCCAGAGCTGAGCTGTGGGTGGGTGTGCACAGGCAGGCACCCAATCCAAGACCTAGACGTTATTTTATTGTTTTGGATGCCAGTACTGGGGCTTGAACTCGGAACTTGTGACTCTTGCTCAGTGCCTTTTTCGCTCAAGGTTAGCACCCTACCACTTGAGCCACATCTCCACTTCCAGCTTTTTGCTGGTTAATTAGAAGAGTTTCATAGACTTTTGTTTTTTTTGGGGGGAGGCAGGGCCAGCTTCCAACCATGATCCTCAAATCTCAGCCTCTTGAGTAGCTAGGATTATGGGTGTGAGCTGAGATGACCTGGGCTGGGAGGGAGGAGGGATAGAGGGTTAAATGCTGGAGTGAATGCAACACAGGAGATCGACTCAGACATCGGGGCTCGGGGAAGAATGAACTTGCCAGGCTAGCCATGAAGAGACGCAGAGTGGCAAGCCTTCGGGAGTGAGAACCAGACCCCGTCTCTGACCTCCCCCCACCCTTCCTTCCCTCGGCGGACAGGCAGCCTGTAACTCACAGCTGGCTCCAAGGAAAGGAGGGAGTGGCCACCCTCCCCAGCCTGAGCTGAACCCGCTCACAGCAGGGCCTGGCCCGGCCCATCCCAACCGACCCCAGCCCCGAGGACCGGCACTGCCCCTCCTCACCTCACCCCACGGCTCAGGGTCAACTTCATCTCCAGGAAGACAACCAGAGGGCACCATGCCCAGCCGTTGGCTGTGGGCGCCCCCAAGAGGGGCTGTGTGAGGCCTGGGCACGAAGGATCCGGGGGGCAGGCCCTGCAGGAGCCCGGGGTCCCCCCAGCCAGGCCGCACCAACTCTAGCCGCAGCCGAAGTTCCACCATCTCCTCCTGCTGCTCGCGCAGCCGGTCACTCTGCAGGAAGATATGGTCCAGGTGGTGTCGGGGGCGTGGCCTTGCAGGGGGCGTGGTGATGGGGCGTGACCGGCATGTGACAGACATGAGTGGGGTGTGGCCACTGGGGCGTGGCCTTGCAGGAGCGTGGTGAAGGGGCGTGGCCAGTAGGTGACAGCTGGGGCGTGGTTGCTGTGGGCGGGGCCGGCGGTGGGCGGGGCCGGCGGGCTGGGCGGCTTGCTGATGGCCCCCCCGGTGCTAGCACCCCACCTCTGGGGTGGACCGAAGATCAGCCTCCCCGGCTCCGCAGGACACAGCACCAGTTCAGCGGTAAGCCCCAGCCCTTTCCCCAGAGGACTTCCCACGCGCCCTGTACCCCTAGTCCAGGTGCTGGAGGGCGCTGGCTCCCCGGGGGTGCCCGGTGGGCGGGGTCCCGGCCACAGCCCCGCCTCTCCACACAAATCCGTCCCGCGGCTCTGCAACTGCCCCGTGCCGCCCCCCCTCAGCCCCCCTCCCGTGCTCATCCTGTCATCCGGGCATCTCAGCCTCCCCGGCCCCCCACCCCCGGACCGCGCTCTGGAAGGCGGCCCCACCTGCAGCTTGTACTGCTCCATGGCGTCCTCCAGCGCAGCCAGAAAATCCCGGTTCTCCTCCTCCAGCCGCGCCACCTGGGCCTGCAGGGCCAGCAGCTGCTGCGCCCCCTCGTCCTCCTGGGGAGCGGGAGAGAGGCTTCCAGAGTGGGCGGCCGGGCCGGCCCTTCCCGGCCCCACCCGACCCTGCTCCGAGCCCCGGGGCCCCGGGGGCCAGCCGTGCAGGCCACCTGGGCTACTCCGGCCATTGTTCACCAATCAGTAACGATACTGTCATCGCCGGCCAGGCCCGGGACCCCGGTCATCAGGAGTGACTGTGTGTCTGTGTCTGTCTGTCCTGGCCCTTGAGCTCAGGGCCTGGAGCTCTTGGTTTTGTCGCTCTACCGCTTGAGCCCCCGCGCCACGGGCTCGGTGCTGGTGGACTGGGGACGGAGGTGGCACGGGATCCTCGGATCTCAGCGTCCCGAGCGGGAGGGCCTGGCTGCCTCCCCACCCCCCACGGCGGGCAGGTGCACACCTGA